CCGCCATCCTCCCCTTACTGGGGGTCTCTGGGCAGTGGGGGGCGGTTCTCCAATGAAGGATTCAGAGCTGGCCACCTGCCTGCAACCTGGCCTTCCAGTCCTGGCTTTGACCCACTCTCCTACAAGACCTGTAATGAGGTTCTCAACCTTCCAGGCCAGGCTTTGGGTGGGTCAAATGATTACTGTCCTATAGCTTGCCACTGTCTGTTCACAGAGCTCCACTAAGCCACAGAATCAGAGTTCTAAGTACAGCAATAATGAAAGGGGCAGCCACCCATCCTGAGCACCTCGCGTGGCTTTATCACACACTGTGAACCCCCCAAAGACGCTGGGTGAGTGGGCCTCACTGTCATCACCGTCAGTCCGACATCACAAAAACGGAAGCAAGCCTGCAGGGGAGCCCCGACCCGCTTCAACTCAAACACAGGACCCGCCCAGCATGGGCCTGACCAACAAAGCTGCCTCCTGGGAGTTATAAAAAGTCGCCATCGGTACATGGAGTGCAAACGAGGCACCAAATGCCCTCCAGGGCTCTGGAGGCCAAGAACTGGTGAAGTCCAGCTGCTTTCCCGCAGCCTGGCACAGCCTTCTTGACGGCACGGCCACCTAATGGGCCAGCCCTGGGTGGGAGGTGAGTTTGAGGCGGAGGTGGAAAGGGCCCAGGTCGGAAGGGACTCGTCAGAGAGCGATGGTCGGCTCAAGAACCCTAGGCAGCTGCCTCCTCTGGCCATAGGCACCTCACTGCCCACCCCCAGCCCAGGTCACCTGTCCTTCCAAGATGACTCCGCCAGCTTCCTCACAGCCCCAGGGCCCGTCTCATCCCAGGAGCCCTGCCTCCTGCCCCTATCCCAGCCATCACTTGTCACCGAACCATGAGCCTCACGCTCTGGGTTCCAGGCATCAGGACCACCTTCCTTCTGTCCCACCCAGGGTCTTTGCACATGTTCCCCTTTCTGGGTAACGGGGTCCCCACCTCAGCGCACCAGGGTCACTCCTTACCTTCCCTCAGGCCCTGCTCAGCCAATACTCCCTCTGAGAAGCCCCCCTTGGCCACTGGCCATGTCCATCATGGGGCTTCTCCTTATACCACGTACAGAGACCTCCACTCTAAGAATGAAATGAGCTGTGAAAACCCATCGCCCCAGCCAAAGGCTCTGCGGCTTCGGTCCCAATGCAGAGCCTGGCCCTCTGTAAGGCGGAGCNCTCCCTCTGAGAAGCCCCCCTTGGCCACTGGCCATGTCCATCATGGGGCTTCTCCTTATACCACGTACAGAGACCTCCACTCTAAGAATGAAATGAGCTGTGAAAACCCATCGCCCCAGCCAAAGGCTCTGCGGCTTCGGTCCCAATGCAGAGCCTGGCCCTCTGTAAGGCGGAGCACAGATATGACGGGGCTGGGCCAGCCTACGGCGCCCACAGCGAGGCAGCCTGACACGTGGGTGCTCAATGCATACATCTGTGCCGGGGCATAGAGAGGTACCACTTAGACAGGGGACAGGGTGGGCCTTCCCTGGCAGTCCAGTGGTTAAGACTCTGCGCTTCCACTGCAGGAGGTGCAGGTTTGATCCCCGGTGGAACTGAGACCCTAAATAAAAAAGAAAGGGCACAGGGAATCCTGACCTGGTGATGATCCCCTGGGTATGCAATTATACATATATAATTTTTACACAAATAAAAATTCACCAACAGTATACTTTCATGTTGGGGCTTCCCAGGTGGCACAGTGACAAAGAATCTGCCTGCCAATGCAGGATATGCAAGAGACGTGACATCGACCCCGGGGTCGGGAAGATCCCCTGGAGCAGGAAACGGCAACCCACTCCGGTATTTTTGCCCGGGAAATCTCACGGACAGAGGAGCCTGGCAGGCTACAGTCCATGTGGTCACAAAAGCACAGCAGAGCAGGAAAACTTGATAAAACTTGATAAAACATGATAAAACTTCATGTTTATCTTTATAAATACTTTATCTTTTAATTTAAAAGATTTATTTTCTTCAAAAGTCAAGTTTCTCTTCCTAAAACTCTCATCTCCCACATCTTGGTGCCAAATAAACGAATGACTCGGAAACTCTCCCTTCCTCTCCTGAAACAGCTAGCCATCCGCCGCCTCGGAGACGACTCCGGCGGCCTGGGCCCTGCTGGGGCTGAGGGTGGCCCACAGGGCAGGCAGAGGCTGCTCAGGCTGCCCAGAGAGCCCCAGGAGGGACCCCCAAGCCTGACGCCAAGCGAAGGTGAGGCTTTCGTCCCCAGCTCTGCCGGGACTTCTGTGTGACCCCGGCTGGGGGTTTCTGGCTGCTGACGCGGGCGCTGGCCTCCGCGGGGCCTCCGACGTCTGCAGCTCCTCCCTCCTCACCTCTGCGGCCCCCACGGCGCCGGTGAGACCTCGCACCCTGCATTCCAGGCATCTGCCCTCGGTTCACAGTCCCCGACTCCCACCGTCATCTCCCTGCTGTCTCAAACCCCCGTGGTGGCGGTCTCGCCAACAGCAGGGTAAGACGGGAAGCCTCACCACCCAGGGCCAGCGCCCGGGGCTCCTGCCATCTCCTCCTTCCCTCGCGGGCGTGTCTGTGGATCCAGTCTGTGTTGCTGGCGTGCTCCCACAGAGGCACTTGGGAGGCAGGTGCAACACTGTGGTCTCTGCCGGGGACTCAATTCCCACGGGGACCCTCCCTGACACACTGGGGATCAGGGACGAAGCCTCTGGGGCTGGCTCCTGAGAAACAAAGGAGCCCCTCCAGACAAGAAGGCCCCTGCACTCGGGGCTGCCCTACGCCTGGGTGAGTGGGCTCTTGCAGCAGAGAAGGCCCAAGTGAAAGCGAGGATGTGGAGGGACCCGCTGCGGTGGGTCTGGCTAAGTCTGAGCCAAAACCAGAGGTGGGCTGCAGGGACAGAAGGCCCTGGCATTGTGCCGCTTAACACGGTAAAGGCCTAACATCAGGAAGAGAGACTGTTCTTCCCTCTCAGGGGCTCTGAAGGTCCCCTTTGGGACGGGCACGGTGGCAGAGTGACCGTGGTCTACCAAGATTCCTATTGCAGGGCCATGACCATGTTTGTTTACTATCAGCAGGGGATGGAGCTCATAGCTCCCAGAGCCAGGCACAGAACAGACACACAATAAACGCTTGTTAATGTGCGTGTGTGTGTGTTCAGTTACTCAGTTGTGTCTGACTGATTGCAACCCCATGGAGTGTAGCCTACCCAGCTCCTCTGTCCATAGAATTTTCCAGGCACGAGTGCTGGGGTGGGTTGCCATTTCCTCCTCCAGGGGATCTTCCCGACCCAGGGATCAAACCCACGTCTTTTGCATTGCAGGCGGTTGCTTTAGCACTGTGTCACCTGGGAAATCCATGTGTTATTGACTAGTGTGTAAAAACAGTGTTCACTTCACAAGAGGAGGCAGACATGGAAAGCGAGGTATAGAGGGGCAGGGACAGCTCTTGCAAGGGGTGAGGTCGGCACTGATAAATCTGTCCACCTTGGCCTACCCATGGGTCAGTCCCCACCAAGTCCCGCTGGCATCCTAGCAGTATCCCTACCACTAGGACGCAACTGAAAAATCAAATGATTTTTCCCTCAAGTGGAGACAGGGGTGACACAATGAAATATCCTTACCAAAGACTCCCAGGCCTGCGTCTGCTCACACTTCTAAATCTACCCACCGATTCAGAGGAAATTCGAATGTCAGAGGAAGGGGTGAAAGGACACGCGGATCCCACGCACGGAATCCAGGCCAAGGGACATTTCTTCCACAAGTTCAAGTGAAAAACGAACAAGGTAGAGAGAGATTGAGGGAAATCCAGACATCAAAAGAGAAGGACCTACGGATCTCATTCGGGTCCTGGGAAATTTGGACACCGACTGGATGTTTGAGGGTATTTAGAGGTCACTGTGTCAGATGTGACACTGGTCTCGTGGTTATGTTGCTTACAATGACTCTTTCAGAAATGCCTACTAAAATGCCAACAGAAAAAAATAAGTGGTATCTGGGATTTTGCTTATAACCCAGGGATTCGGGGGGCAAACAAAACAGGATCACCCATGAAGGGATGGCAAGTGGGGTTCAATACGCTCTTCTCGCTAATTCTGTACGTGTTCCAAATTTTCCATAACAGAAAGGGCTTTTGTTTTTGCTGTCTGTTTCAAATCCCAAATCTCCCTGCTAACGGAGTAAAGAAGGCAGAGTGGGAGAAACGCTGAGGCTGGGAGCCTGGTTTCAGCTGAGGGGTTCCACCCTCTCCCACAGAAGTCGGGGCATTCCACAAAGGTTTGCTGCCTGCTTCCTCCTTCAAACACATTTTCAATCAGTTTTTAAAATCTCAATTAAGAAACACCCACCTCACACTCAGATGTGAAGGATTCAGGCTGGTGGAGGCAGGGCCAGCCCACATGCTATTTTTGATTGCCTGTGAAAGATAAGCATCGAATCAAAAGGCAGGTTTACAAAGGTTCCCAGCAATCTGACACAGTGATGTGACGTCTCTTGCATTTCCTAATAAGATAAGGGGCTTAAAGCGAGGTATCTTTGTTTTTATGATAACAACTTTAATTACATTAAAAAAAATCATTTCATGCAAGATTAAAATTTAAAAACCAAACAAATGTGGTCCTTCAGAGGGAGGTGAAGAAACACTACCATGGACTGGACATCAATCCCCTGGGGGCCCAGGCCCGTCTGCCGAGGTGGCCTGCCCAAGGCCCCAGGACAAAGTGTCCCTTCCCACTGCTGCCAGCACCAATTCTGGCATCTGCTGCAAGCACAGGGCTGAGCAGAGGGCAGACAGCGGCAGCTGCCAGGCCTGCTTGATCTCCAACCCACGTTCACGCAGGCACTACCACAGGCTTGGAGCCACGCTCCACCCAAGGCCACAGGCCTGGGAGGTGCGGAGCAGGCCCCTCGCAAGGTGCCATCCCAGCCACAGCATGGCAGGGGTGCCCGATCACACCCTGGAGCAGCCACCTTCATCTGTAAACCAACGGTGAGAGATGAGTCAGCCAACTTTGCCACACATGTTCACTGCTGTGTCCCTTTCAAGCTGCTGGAGGGGCTTAGCCGCAGAGAGCCCTAAGGAATGCCAAAACGTCCACTCTTTCCCTTGTGTCAACTACAACAGCTCTATCGCTGAACGGAAGTACCCAAGTCAATCAGGCAGCAGGGCTGCTGGAGACATCAACCTGCACCCACGCGTCCCGGTTTCAAGAGTTTCACGGGTTTCATGGGGTTTCCTGGTTTCACAGAAGACAGCACTGCTGTTCTATGACATGCAAATAAGAAATGGAATATTTCCTGCCGTATCAGTAAACGACGGATGTCACAGTCATCAGCAATTGCAGCCACCGCCGATGATGAGCTGCTGAGACCTGCGGGAACGCAGGAGGGAAGGGCTACCTGCCATATAGCAGCCATCACACTGCAGCCACTCCAGACAGTGAGCCCTGGGCAAACTCAGGATCCTGGCCCCTGAGCGCCGAGGGGCGTGCCAAAGGAATGACTTCAGCTGAGGCAGACTCAGTATCTTCCCATACAGAGAAAAGTGCTAAACCTCTTAGCTTGAGATATCTGGCTTTCTTTAATTCACAGTAATCTTTTGACATTCAGACTACCTGCCCTGGCTCCTCCCCTGACTTCCTTGGAGCAGCTCTCCAGGATGCCGCCTTCTGGACATGAAGTCCTAAAAATTATCGCCAAGTCAAACAGAACTCTCAACTTTAAGATTGCAACTACTTTTTTTTTTTTTACAGTTATGGAGACCAACGAAGGGACCAGAGCAGATTCCTCCCCTTCACCTGAACTCTACAAGGATCTGGAGCCTTAGTAATCAGCAGAGGCGACTTGTGCCTGCCCACTCACCTCTTGGAGGAGTCCAGACAAATCTGGGTGAGTCTCTCTTTAGTTCTAGGAGCTCCCATTATTGGTTGATGACCATTAAGTTTCAGATACTGGGGGAATAAGTTATCTTTGAAACTTAGTTTCCAGAAGTGGTACCTGGGTTATCCTCAGTTGGAAGTACTGGGAAGATTTTGCTCAGTGTAAAAGGCACTGGCAGATTCAGTTTAGATAGGAGTGGTTATTCTCAGCTTAAAGGCTGGGAAGACTGCTTAGTTAAACATTGCGTAAGGTTCAACTCCCACCTGAGTTATTAGGGGGAAGACCGGCTTGTTGGTTTTCCTTGAATTGGTGACCTTAATAGAGACTGTCGAAATAAAAAAAAAAAACACAAAACTGAAATTTATGAGTGCTTCTGAGCTCCAAAGAAGGGACCCTCTCCCTCTGGCTGGCAACAGCTTTCTGCGGTGACTGAGAAATCTGCAGGAGTGGTGGTGGCCGGACCCCACACTGCAGCTGTCCCTTCAGGGAGACCCACTCATTTCACTAACAACCTGTGCATCCAGGGACTCGAAGAAGAACTGACCGTGCTGTGATCTGAACACCATGGTAGTCTTACGTGCCACTAGGAGAACCCAAGACGCCTAAGAGGGAGCTGAAACAAAATCTGATGCCAAACCTAGAGGGGTTAAGCTCTCAAGCAGCATGCTGACGCATCACACAATCATCACCAGCAATTTTATTTCAGCAGTCCAACTTCAGAATGGGAAATAAAGGTTACAAAATAAAAGAAGAAGGAGGACTTCCCTGGTGGCTCAGAATCCAACAGCCAATGCAAGAGACAAGGGTTTGATCCCTGATCTGGGAAGATCCGTCATGCTGCGGAGCCTTTAGCCCACGCACCACAACTACCTGTGTTCTAGAGCTTGGGCGCTACCACTGCTGAAGCCCGAGTGCCCCAGAGCCTGTGCTCTGCAAAAACAGAAGCCACCGCAATGAAAAGTCTGCGCACTGCATCTAGAGAGTAGCCCCTGTTCACCACAACTAGGCAGAGTCCGCACCGCAACGAAGACCCAGCACAGCTATAAATAAATAAAAGGAGCTAATCCCCCAGTCTGGTTAATGTACATACAAAACTTACAAGTACCTACTTAATTGGGAATTAAAGGAAATCTCACCCTAAAAATGAGGGGCCTCTCTTACTGCATGTGCAGTAAAATTAAGATTAAAAAGCTGGCTTGACAGAAATATCTTTTCAGAATTTTGATGTTAAACAAAGTCCTTCCAGGGGAAAGCTTGCATTTCTCTTCCTGAGTCTTTGAGATGTGAAAGTTCTACGTGATCTCACGAGGACATTATGTGTGTGTGTGTGTGTGTGTGTGTGTGTGTTTGTGCATGTATTTGTCTTGAAAACTTGACCTCTGCCATACTATTTTTGAGAGCAAACTTTCTGGATTTTGCTTAGGTTATATCCTCCTCCACCCTCTTATGAGGAAGCCTCTTGCACCTCAGTAGTTTGAATCACTATTAACAGATATTTTATTAATGGCCAAATGATGGATTCCTTTAAAACTGGAGAAACAAACTGGTGAATCTATAGCATTCTCATTATAAAACTGTTTTATTGGTACGCATAAAACAAAAATCAAACTTAAGGTGGAAAAAATATATCTAACAATTAACCTAAGAACTTCTTGTAGTTTAAAACAAGTAAGAAAAACTGGTTTAGGAAGCTTCCTTTGTGGTCTTTGCTTCCCCTCAATGGATCTTACAGGTAAACAAAAGCACTACAATAATTAAGGTTTATGGGGAAAGTCCTATAAGGAAAATCTAGATACTATTTCCAAAAAGGTAAATTTTTTAAAGGAATTATCTCAAATGAATAAAGAAATCTTTAGATGGTTATTTAAAGTATGATAAATAAAATGGACATTAATGTGGTTAAAACACAAGGTTTTATATTACACTACCTAAAGTTAAATGGGTCAAAGGGTACCCCCTACTAGTTCCCAACAGTAAAAGCCAAACAAGTCTGATCTATTCACCCCAGTGTTAAAATAAATATTTAAGAAGCTAGAAAAATTTACACTGAGTACCTGACCAGCAATTATTTGGGGCAACAGATAGGCCAAAGGGCCTGAGTTCCACCACTCAACCTCTCTCTGGGGATCCCACAGCCTTTTATATAAAAACAGATAAATGGGCAGGAAATACTGAATAAAAAGAAAGACAAAAATTAAAAGTCTTCCTATAAGACGAAAGCTTGTTAATTGGACACTAATGAAAAGTAAAGGTATAAAAGTTGACAAAATTGGGATGAAAGTGTATCAAAGTGGTATATTTAAATGGGCTTTATATAAGATGATTATCATCTCTTTTGGTTAATTATATTGTAGGACAGGCATGCTTCCCTGGGAAATACTATATGGTATTTTAAGACAAGGTATATTAATCTGCCCCTCAGGAAATATTAAACATTCTAAAGGAAAACTAAGCCATACAAATAAGTAAAAACTTCAAACTAAAATTCAAGAACTAGTGAAAAAATAAAAGTAGTGATTTTTCTCTGGGTTTAACTGGTAAATTCGGAATGAGGGTCTTTGCTGAATGCCTTATACGAGCTTTTGAAGGTATGTGAAACTCTATAAAGTTCTAGAACACGGAACTCGTACATTTCAAGGGAGCTAGAAATCTTCTCACTGCTAATATACAGTTGGACAAATCAATCTTTCAGTATCCTTTAAGTGACAGACGTGTTCTTCAGGGAACTAAAAGCAACTGTCTGTCTCTTGCAAATCTCCACAAAACAAAAATGTAAATACAGGCCACAGGACCTGAAACTGAGCCCTATCAGGCAATACCTGAAACCAAGGAAACAAAGAGACAAAGCGACAATTCCAAAATTCACATGGCTAGGAATGCTCCCTCAGCCAAACTCTACAAAGAGTAAAACCTTAAATCATCTGAGCTGGCAAATTTAATGTATTCCAACTGCTCTTTGTAAACTAGCAAGTTTATATCGTGACACCTGATTCATAATTAGGTGAAGCCATGAGATCTCTAGTTTTGCCTGTTTATATGCCTGTGTACACATGGTACTTATGAGATATCTCTACCTCTGGAAAGTATAGTATCATCAACACTGAATTTATAAAGAGCTCTATTTAATGAAAGAAAGTACTTACAAATTAAATAAAAAGAAACGGGCCAAAAGGACTTTCAGGTTCATGTGAACTGAGAAATACTGAATATTAAGTTGATACCTGGTATTAAAGTTTGTTTGTTGATCTAATTATTATAGGCATGTATTTAGAATCATTAAGTATAATACTTCATTGTACCTAGGTTTAATAGAAGTCAAATACGACGGATGTTATTGCATCTGTTGCAAGCAAAATAACTTGACATGATGAAGCTTTACAGTAAATGTAAATGAAATAAGAGCTTTTGGGCAAACTCTCTTAAAGTAATTTTAAACTTTCATCGCAATGAGAAACTCACATGCTACAACTAGAGAGAAGTCCCTGCACGCCATAACTAAGACCCACTGCAGCCAAATAAAGATAAATTAATTTTAAAAAATACACAGGATACTCGCCTCAGATAAGTGACGTGCACATCACAGGAATGATTTCAGTGAGCTCAGACCGCACATCCTCCCATACACAGAAAAGTGCTGAATTCCTTAACCTGGGTTATCTGGTTTTCTTTACTTATCAATAATCTTCTGATGTTCAGACTACTTGCCCTTTGTTGTAAAATTTCTATATAACCTGGCTACTCCAGCCTGGCCTCCTTGGAGCAGTTCTCTCATGGTCACTTGAGATGTTGCCTCCCGAGCTTGAAGCCCTAAAAATTCCCGGTGAATGAAACACAGCTTTCGACTATTAGGTTGTGAATATTTAAATCAAACACACATGTGTAAATTACAAATATGAACTTATAAGATAACTCACACTAATATGCAGCATCATCATCCGTGTGTGTTTTATATATACTGAGGTTTCATGTTCAAGTTTCACTACTTAAAAAAAAAAAAGTGAAAGGAGCTGGAGGTCAAGATCCATGGTTTGTGATCTCAACTCTGTCACCACTCATGGTTTAGCAACTCTGGGCCTCAGTTTCCACATCTATAAAATGGAAACAGACTGCCCATTTCTTAGGTTGGTTACGAGAGGAAAAAGAAATAAGCCAAAAACACCCTTCAGAGAATTACAAGTGCAAAGTCAAAAGCACATGGTAATTTTATCAAGTTCATACCATGGCCTCAATCCCTCCTTGCTTTCCTCCCTGCATCCTCACTCATCCCCTTCAGTATGGATAGTGATGCTGTGCCTATGAATAACAGTGCTATTACTAATAACAGAGTAATTAAAGTATCACTGATGGAGAAATACATGGCCACCCCTGTGCTTTGAGCCCCACACAAACCACTGCTCCCCACCACCGACTTCTCCAGTAACCCGCCCTCAAGCCCTGGGAGGCTGACTCAGTCACCCAAGTACAGATGGGGCTTTGAAAGAATAACAGCACCGGCCTCCTCCACGCTCTGGACTTTCTCTGAGGCCCCCAGTGTGACACTGCATGTGAAGCTGAAGGCAAGTACACTCAGGCTGTGGCCTCACAGGCTTTCCTGCCAGTTCCTGGCAGGAGCAGTATTACCATGAACTTAACCCCGTGGGAGCCTTCCTGGGCCAGCCCTCCTCACTGGAGCAGAGAGGCCGTTTGTGGCTCTGTGGCCCTGCTGGGGGCAGGGGCAAACACGCAGGGGGCCTCGGGCTCAAGTACGCATGACCACTGACTGCAAAACTCCACAACAGGAGGAGAACACGGGCGGCAGACGGGGGGCAACACTGTGGGTGGAGGCGCCCCCAACACAGCCCATCCAGCTTGGGTGGGCCGCTGGGGCCCCGGGAGGCAGCCAGTGTCTCCCAGAAACGGCTTGACTCTTGCTCTTCAAGAGACAATGAATCCACTGTTGACCGCCTGGGGCCTTGATTAATGTTTGGGGAAAAAAAAAGTGGAAAATTCCACCTGTGTGGGTGGAGGCC